GCCGGCGCTCGCCCTCCCCCCCCCCCCCCCCCAAGCGCTGAGCGCCCAGGGCCAGTGCTAGCGCTTTCTCCCCCCCCCCATGCGCCGCGGGGGGTGAATCCGCGGCACCCCCGGGGCCGGCTCCAGCACTGCGCATGCACCACGTGCCCGGGGCCAGGTCAGCCCTGAGCACTTGGCGGGCGCCAAGAAATGCCCCTGCGGGCGCCATTGAGCCCGCGGGCACCGTGTTGGGGACCACGGATGTAGGGTAACAGCTTTTCTCACCACATGAGCTATTGCAGTCCTTAATAGATAGTCTGCCCCTTAAACTGGGGCTAGTCTCCTCTGGTTACATCTTCAGAGTTTGAGCAGCAAAGGTGAGGGGAGGAGAAAGGCCAAGCATATAGCCCCCTGAGTGCTGTTTTATTCCCTTAGTCCATGTGCTTGGAGAACACAAGTCCAGGCATGGCTGGTGGACATTGCTCAATCCCCAGACAAGGCTGAGCACACCCCAAATCTGAGCAAGTGAGCTGCAGTCCACAAAAGCTTTTGCCTTCATAAAAGTGTTAGTGTTCAGGGTGCCACAAAGACTCCTTGTTTTTCTGAATGTTAGCTTCCTTGCAGGATAATGGCTGCTGATGGCTGTTTGACACCTAAGGGCTATGGTCCCTTTCCTTGCTGTGGTCTTTGAGGAACTAATATTGGGCTGATTCCCCAACTCATTGCTATCATAACAACCATGCAGCATTCTCTCAGCTTGATGATGTACGTGTTTAGCTAGAATGGCGGGTTTCAGCAGATCACCACCTCTCCCATACCTCATGTGGCATGTTTTAGATACAAGACCATATCTGTCTGTAAATGAGGAATGTAGGTGTTCTGCTTCCACAAGGTAGGGAATGTCACACCGCCTTCGAGCAGCTGTATAAAATGAGTCTTGTGCCTCTACTAAGAGCACCCAGCAGGGCAGCTATTAGTCAAGCTGTGCTGGTGGCTCTCTGGCCTTTTTAGAAAAGGCTCCATTGTCCTCTCATCTTCCTCGTCATGTTAATTAACCCTATTCCCTCTGCCTAGAACAATTCTGACAACTCTATCCAAATGTCGTACTGTTCTTTTCCAAGTAGCCCTAAAGCTTTTTGTCTTTATTGATTTGTAGGAATAGACTTCAAGATCAAAACAGTTGAATTACAAGGAAAAAAGATCAAGCTTCAGATCTGGTAAGTGACATCCTTGAACTTGTGCTGCCATCATAATTGCAGTATGGCTCCTAAGAGAGTTAGCTCAGCTAAATTGCATATTGGCTTCCAGTCCTTTCAAGACTTATTTGAATATTATTGTTGCTTAAACTCTTTTTAGAGCCGGGGGAGAACATTAAAATCAGTAGAGTTTTACTGTCTAGGTATTTTGCCTATCTTTAGTTTAATTTCATTAATGTATTGTGTATATCTGATACGGTAGTGGAGGTTTTTCAGTAGGCTTATGGAATTTTCTTAAATGGAAAAATGAAGTGATTAAAACTTTGAATTGGTTAACAGTTGCACAGGACTAATAATTCATATACTTTTCTGAAATATTGAGGCAAACTAGACCTTAATATGTTAAAAGCTTGCTGCATTTCATTTACAGGTTATTGGCAACTCTTCTCTGAATGTTTGAAAACTGGGAGTGTTGATAGTCCATGTTTTTGTGGGAAGTATTTAAAAATGATTCTTCAACAATGAGCCATATTAATGTATAGTAGTGTTTCTCCACTTTTTTTATAAAGTACCCCTTTAAAAAAAAAGTACCCCCAGTACCTACAGTTCTCAGATACACACCATTTTTTATAGCATTGCAACACATTTGTTTAAACAACTTAATCGTAGCTGGGCAGGTGATGAAATTTTTGGGTGTAAAAAGTACAAAAAGAATAAAGCGCTGTAAGACTTAAACAAAAAATTGTTTTCTCCACATTTCAGTTGTGTTGACATACTCTCCTCCTCCCCCCCCCAAGACTTCTGTATCCCTGAGGGTACTCGTACCACTGGTTGAGAAACACTGGTGTAGTACACTGGGGTGGCTTGTATTCTGTACTTGAGATTTGTGTAGATCAAGTAAAGCCATGACTGGAGACTAAATCAAGGATTTTGTTAATACTTGCAGACTTCTGTCACCAACCATTTGTAAGGTGTTGGTGTAATTGTGTGACCTCCCATATACTATCTCGTGTAATAAGGCATGTAAACCAGAGATATAAACACAAATAATATAAATTGGCTGCTGAGCTCGTGCTTTAATACGAACACCTATGTAAAGCAAACGCTCTATTAAACCAAACATTTCCTCAGGAGCCAGTTGCCCCATCCACTCCTCTGACTCTAGTGGGTAGTTCTTTCATCTATAGCAGCTCTCCTAAACATGAGGCTAGAAGGAAGGTGATCTAGATCAGTGATCCCCAACCTTTTGGGGCTGCAGGGCCGCTCACACGCCGGGCACCCAGGGGCGGGGCCACACATGCGCCTGGGGGCGGGGCCATGCACGCGCCTGGGGGCGGGGCCACCCATACGCCGTGTGCCCGGGGCCGGAACAGCCCATGTCCCGTGAGCCTGGGGGCAGGGCCACCACCGCCCATGTGCTGTGTGCCCAGAGCTGGAGCCTGTGCCATGCACCCAGGAGCCGGCAGCGCCCATGCACCGCGCCCCCGGTGGCAGGGCCGGCCCCGATCACTCGGCGGGCGCACAGAAATGGCCCGGGGGGTGCCATGGCGCCCGCGGGCACCACGTTGGGGACCACTGATCTAGATTCTGTGTGGGCTCTGACAGTCTTCTCTAGTCACTTTGCTTGGACTCTGCCAAGTGCCTTCCATGCTCTCTCACTTCTAGTTAACCTGCCCACTTCCCCATTCTGCAACCAGCCCTTTAAGCAGACCCTCATCTTGTACTGGTGAGGCTTACTGGTTCCAGTAACCAGGGCTCGACAAGCTATTGAATCTACTAACCCGTGGTGAGTAGATTTCAGCCCGGTGTCCCGTTTACCGGCAGCACTTGCGTGTGCAATGCGGCTCTTGTGCATGTGCAGGACAGGGCTGGTGAGCGGCTTTCGCCTCAGCTCGTCAAGCCCTGCCAGTAACCATTGGGGGCTGCTCCAGCCGTGCAGGGGGCCCAGTGCAGACAGAAGCTACTCCGGCATCCAGAGCAGCATCTGTCTGCCGCAAGCCCGGATGCCCCATGGGCAGGGGCTGAGAGCCAGTGGCAGGCCCCGCCCCCGCTTAATGCCTGGGTGACAGGAGAGTAGGAGCCCTGCAGACTGGGTGCTGCTCCAGACAGGCTGGAGTGGTTCCCTAGCTTAGTCTGTTAACTGTTTAAAGGTTAGGTCGACCTAATGTTTAACCACTTAACTGGGATTTTACATCCCTGCTCATGCTTGGATTGCAAAGGACTTCCTCAGCAAGTGCATAAAAATGAAAATGATGCCCCTGTAACTAACCCTAGCCCGGGCCAAAGGAATGCATGTAAGTTGGGTGAAGGCAGAGAGCCTGAAACTTCACTTTCACATGGTGGTGTAGCAGAGTTTTTGTATGTACCATTACTTAGAGTGAATCTTGTTTCCTTTTGGTAGCTGTCTGCTACTTCTTTGTAAGCTGCAGCAGGTTTTGCACCCAAGTATGGAGTGTGCATTCTTCTTTGCATTTCCTGACACACAGTGAAAGCAGTTACTTACCTTATGGGGTTGCTGTAAAGATGGTCATTTTAATGACTGAAGTTGGCACAAGGGATGTGAAAGCTTAACCGGTAAGGGTGATGCTTACTGATTCCAGTGGGGACTGGAGCAGCTCCGGTGGGTAGGGGCGTACTCCACTCCTGAGGGATGCACTGCAGGCAGGGACTGCTCCAGGCGTCTGGAGCAGCCACTGCCTGCCCCCGCTTTAATCAGTTAACCGGTACAACAATACATTTAACTGGTTAACCAATTAAATGGGATTTGACATCCCTAGTTAGCGCGCACAGCACTTTTCAATTTCAAGGTTTTCCCTGCTGCTGGATTTGAAGTCAGAGGGAAGAGTCTATGTTGGGAAGAATATCTAGAAATTTAGTCAGTTTCATATTTATCATGTTGAATGTGAACCCAATAAACAGATGACCCTGCTAATTAGTGTACTTTGTATCCTGAACGATCACCCTCTCCTTGTACCCGCAATGTCTTCTCCAACATTTTGTCTAAATGCCTTTGTTTTGTAGGAATACTGCTGTGCATATATAGGATAGCAGGGTCAGTAGCAATAAACAGTTGTTTGGTATAATCTGTTCTTTATAAAGGTTGATTGCTTCTTTTCAAGTAGATGTACAAAGCTAGTGGCTGAAGAAACACTAACCTCTTGTAAATCTCTTGAATTTCTATTAGGAATGTTAAAATGTGTATTTGTGTACATGTGTAACTGCTGAAAAAATTAGTAGCTACATGTGTAGAGGTAGCAGTGTGGGCACAGGTGGCTTCATGCAGTACTTTGTGCAACATCGGTACGTGCAGAGAGCTGGCTTAAAAGCAGACTCCCCATGTATACTGGCTCCTGCCTGCCCCTGCTCTGTTGCCTCTCTTATAGAGGCAGCAGTATTGGGGGAGGCAGCTCTGCGGGAGCCAGTGCTCACGGGGAGACAGCCCCCTCCTGCCTCTGTGGGAAGTAGGGGGGCGTATGTAAGCATGCAGATTACCCGATGAGCCCAGGCGTATCAATTCAGTGTGTACACGACCACATGTTAACATCCCTGTAATTTCCATAGTCGAAAGCAAATCTAAATCAGTGGTTTCAGTGAGATATATGACTTGGATCGGAAAGGGCTGGAAAACCAGTTAACAAGAGGAGGAGGGGAAGGTGTCTGACAAGGTGCAGTTGGTAAAGATGTTCACAAAAGCAGAAACTAATGAACGCGAAGGGTGTGTAAGCATGTCAGCCGACGGTCAGGGCAGTGTGTGCGTGTGTGTTACACCCAAGTCTTCAACTGCTGAGACACACAGTCTCGTTGCAGTGGGCAGCCTAGGAGGCTGGAGGGCGCCCCGAAAAATAGTTTAACGTCTGTGACTTTACTGCTAGGACCGGGGTCCCGTCGCAGAGGGCAGCCAACAGGCTCTCAGACGCCCCGAGTTTATAGGAAGAGCTTATTACACCTTAGATTTCAGCTGCTAGAATTCGTAATTCCTTCGCAGCGGGCAGCCTTGGGGAAAGACTGAAAGGTGCCCCCAGAGGATTTTGCCACCTGGGTGTGACACAAATCCAAACGCCCAAGCTCTCCCTATATCTGTCCCTAATGACCGGCTGAAGTTCTTTAAATTGTGCTTGGTTCTGTTACAGCAACTGAAGGAGTCAGGTTAAAGCTTAAACAGTTACAGGTTTATTGAGGAAGCTTATAAATCATATGGTTGCAATGGCTATTGTTCTATTTCTTAACTACTAGCAAAATATAGATCTTAAAAATGGTTACAAAGAAGATAAAGATAGAAAAATAGAAATAATGGTACCAAGTAACAGCTTACTCTTTCTATGTGTACACTTAAGACAGAGGACCACATCCAGGTACAATTTTTACCCCCTTCTGTGCCTCTCGACTCCAGCATGTCAGGCCAGGGCCGGTCCCTCAATTCCTAGGAAAGACGAAAATACGAGGTGGGCGTCCCCATAGAACCTCGGGAGGTCAAACACCTAACCCGACCAGCAGGTAGAGGGTAGAATGACACTCAAAGTGAGTGTGTGCTGGGCCCATCTTTTATAATCATGAGGTCACGTATTTCTCTTTCTTATCTGTAATGCCAATTGGTGCTGGTCTGTCTGCTGTGAGACCAGTTCTTACAAGGGAGTTGTGAACTTAATTTACACTTGTAAGAGAGAATTGAGATGATTAAATTTTGAAGTACTGGACATTGTTTTCTCAGTGGGAAATTCCTCTCAGGGACTGTGTGTGTGTTCGAATCAACATAGGTGCCAGCCGGGCACTCTCGCATATCCTGATCTAAGGCTGACTGCCTTTCTCTTCCTCTCTGGGGGGGGGAACAAGATGGGGTTTGTGTCTGGCTACAAAGCAGGACATAGAGTTTGCAGACACTAAATGGGAAGAGTTATGAACTGAAGTAACAAGGTGACTTAGTGAGATTACAAACTGTGGACAAAATGGAATGCAAATTGTAAGGCCAGATAACACATCATGGGTAAGCTTAAGCCTGGGAGAGAAGACAAAAATGGTAATGC